TTCAATGCAGCGAATCAAAGAATAAAAGAATTCCTCTAATTCTTCTTGGACACCAGCATTAGACGCCATGTTTGTTGTTTTGGCCTTTTCCTTTTGGCGGGAAAAATTCTCGTACCCAGATCTCCAAGGTAAGATCACGTGATTCTCGTTCCTCAGTCGTAATTCTCGTTCCTCAGTCGTAATTCTCGTTCCTCGGTCGTAATTCTCGTTCCTCGGTCGTGATTCTCGTTCCTCAATCGTGACTCTCAATCATCAATCGTGATTCTCAATCATCAGTCTTCTTTCTTAATCCTAGCAATCCGTCATTCTCAATCATCAGTCGATTTCTCAACAGGCAGTTGCAAACTCAATCACTTTTGAATGGTATGGCTTGCCATATGAGGGGAGCAAAAGTAAAATAAAAGTCAAATGCTCGACTGATACTTTAGTATTTAGCTGTCAAACTTGTCGCAGTGATCTTGTACAGACCCCAAACTGAAACACTACTCTGACATAATTCTACGAGTTCATTTGAAAACAACAATATGTCTTCAAGTCGGGCTTTGTTTCTTCGATTAGCCCTTTTTAAATTCATTTTTTGTAACCAACGTTTTACAGTTCAAAGCCCCATCGTAAAACCGTGAACAGCAGCTAGAAACCCCAATATTTCGTAGTTCGAATAACCTTGAAGGAAGTAAGCTCGAATTAGTTCCTGTACATTTAACCCAGCATCTTACATCTGGTGTGTAAGCCGGTAAAACACATGAGAACAACACGAGTACAACAAGTATCTTCGTGAAATAAATCCCTCCTGGATTAAAACACAGAAAGAGTAAGAAAAGCGACTGGGTACGAGTCGGAACTCGGAACTTGGAACTCGAAACTCGGAACTCGGAACTCAGAATTAAGGTAAATACTATCACAATTATTAAGGTTTTCGAGTTCTTTTTTAAAATTTTAGGTTGCATAGTGTCACCTAAACATGTTACAATGTCAACTTGTAAAGAAATATTTCAAATTATACAGCAATAACAGTGAGTAATAACCGTAAGTAGTCAAACTAAGAAGTCGGAACTCGGAAGTGGCCCTCCTCGGCCATCGTAAGAGCTGTCTTCGCATGACTGTGAAAAGCGTAGTGTCGTAAGCATGCCGTGCCTTGACCGTGATGTTTCCTAGAATTTTAATTGGCTGATTTTTATCTCGCCCAATGTGATTGGTCTGAAAGTGCCGTGACCTTGTCGTGACCGTGTCCGCGCCGTGTTTATGCCGTGTTCCGGGTATTTGATTGGATGGAGAATAAATTCTCGTGCAAAGTGATTGGTCTGGCGTACGCCTTGCCGTGTCACGACCGTGTTCGTGCCGGTGAGCATTTCACAGTCATACGAAAACTGCTCTACTAACAACAACACAACGACAAGGATAATGATAATGATGATGAGGAGGAGGAGGAGGAGGAGGATAATGATGATGATAATGATAATGAT